CTTTTTGTGAATGACATTTCCACAAGATCCTTTTTTTTTTTTTTTTTTTGAGACAGGGTCTTGCTATGTAGTCCAAGCTGGCCTCGAATTAGCAACGATCCTCCTGCCTCAGCCTCCCAAGTACTGGATCACAGGTGTGCTCCACCACACCTGGCTACCGTATCCTTATATTTCATTTATTTATTTATTTTGGTACCAGGAGTCGAACCCAGGCCCTCACACTTGCCCCGAAGCTGCTGTTCCGCTGAGCTACATCCTCTTATTTTATAAGCTATATCTTATTTTATATAAAGGTTCAAAGAAAACTTTTCTTTCTTGGGTGATGACCGTGCATCCCCTGAAACAAAACATAGATTTAAATTCTGTCCTGGTGAAGACAACAGTGGTTAAATAATATTTGCCTTTGAGCCAAGAGCGTGTTGGTTTGACTGTTTTTTCATTTATTAGCTGTGTGACCTTTGGCAAATTATTTAAATAAGCTCCTGTTATTTAAATAAGCCCCAGCTTCCTTGCCTGTAGAATCAGGTAACAGGAAGAACTGAGTTAAGATTGCACACAAAGCTCTTAGCAGTGTCAGACCCTTTTAAGCGCTGTACAATGTGCGCCTGCAGAACAGACTCCGGGAAACATGGTCGGCGCTTATGTCTCCTTTTATTTTTATTTATTTATTTATTTTTTAGGTTTTTTTTTTGTTGTTGTTGTTTTTTTCCGGTACCGGGAATCGAACTCACGACCTCACACTTGCCAGGCAGGCACTGTGCCGCTGAGCTATATCCCCAGCCCACTTATGTCTTCTTTTAGTGCCCTGCCTAGTCTTCCCTTCTGATTCTTAACTGCCACCCCTGCAGGAGCTCAGAATTAAGAGCGTGCAGGGAGCTCCACCTCCGTTATTGGAATTTCAACTGAGGTTTCGTTAAGTATCCTCTACGCCTATGTTGCGACCCCACAGGTGGCAGGACAGTGCTTTCCTCTCGGGTCGGTGACAGTCTCTAGCGCGTGGCATGCTGGGGGTTGTAGTTCTAGCTCTCACCTCTGCTCCTAGAGCTCGGCGGAGCCGAGGTCTAGGAACTACAACTCCCAGAGTCCCGCACATCGGTATGGCGTGTTGCGGGTCACGGAGTGTATCCAAGATGGCGGCGCCCATGCTCAGCGCTTGGGTTGCTAAAGGAACTGGGAAAACGGCTGTAGGAACTAACGTGGGCCGGAGAAAACCAACGTGCTGAAGATCCGACGTACAGACCGTTCTCAGGTGACGGGCTCTGGGCGAGTCTTTGCCCTTCCCTTTTCCTTCTCCGGGGAGGGTCGTGGGCAGGGTGTGAGGGCTCTCTCCTCTTCCAGGCTGATTCGGGACACCTGCAGCCATGAGGAGCGACGCCTCCGCCGCCGCCGCCGCCGCGGGCCCGC